TGAAAGTATCTTAAGAAAATTGAGGGGTTTGTTTAATTAAATATGTTTTTCTATTAAAGTTCATTTTATATTACCATCCCTAAACATTTTAATTTGTTATAGCTTTTTTTGTTGTTGTTTGAGTGAATAATTGGATAGTTGAAGTGGAGAAACTAGTTGCTGAAGAAAAGTTTGAAATTATAGCAATTAGATATTGACTGGTTGGAGTTCTTGAAACTTGGGGAAGAGATTACATTTGTGGTCTTAAGCATTTTATCTGGATATTTTTGTTAAATCAATCAACAGTAAAATAGTAAATATAAAAAAAATGCCAACATTGTTCATTATTAGGATTCTGAGTTAACTACATTGAGATGAATTCGAGTTGGTCACATTGCTCTGTGCTTTTGTTTCAGGCTGTTGTAGATTCAGGAAGACAGCTTTGCATCCCTTTGTGCTCTGTTTGGATTTTTTTAAAGGTTTTCTTTGTTCTTGTTAGAAGTAGGTGTTTGTGTTTTTGTCTTAGCATTTTTGTAACAAAATGCTTAGACCTGGAAATACAATTACTTGGCATGAAATTAACTCTGGCAAATTCTGGCTCTGCAGAATATGTAAGAGTTGTGTAACCTTCCAATGATAAACTCATATTTCTGGCTTTTTGCACCTGAAAATGTTTTGTCAGCAAAGCTAAATAGTGTCAGTACTGATGTTAGGCTTTCCTGGTTTGACTGAGTCTCTCAAGTTGTAATACTGCAGGTAGATGGTATAGTGACTGAATTGCTATTCTTGCTGATCGTGATAATTTCTTTTAAAACTAAATTTGCATGCACACTCTGTGTGTGTGTGTGTGTGTGAGAGTATTGGCTTTTTTTTAAAATTCTTATTCTTAGTATCCTTTAATATATTTGCACCAGGAGGTGGACTGAAAACAGTGCTAGTCTGTAGGGCAAAGCACTGAAAATAGATATCCGCTTTTATTTACCTAAAATATTTTGATGGTTCCTAAGAACTTTCCTGATTTTGTATTTTAATTTTTTTTCAAATGTAAAAACAGAGGAAATGATACCTAATGCATCTAGGGATGTATGATTATAATCAATTAACTGATAAGCAAAATCTTATTAGTTAATGTTATAAACTACATGTATTCCTCCTCCCCCCCCCCCCGGGCCAGTAATTTTTTTAACAGGCTGGATAGTGGGGCTACCTACCCCCACTGCAGCTCTGCATTTAAAGTGTTTTAGGAGCTAGGCGGGCAGGCAGCCCAACTCAGTTTCAGCTCGTGCTGGGTCTGGAAGCTCAGGTAACAGTGTGGGGGCAACAGGCAGCCATCTGAGGGGAGCTGGCTTTTAAGCTGGCTCCCCTCGTGACTAACTCCCACCTGGTACCCCATGCTTGTGCCTCTGATACAGAGGCAGCAGCACAGAGTGGCAGTGGGGCTCCTTGGTAATGGAGCTGGAGCACACTGGCTGCCAGCCCCGCCCCCCTGGGACTATAGAATAGTCGAGTAACTGATAAGAATTCATGAGGTGAATCAACTATTCAGATATTTAATATTCCTAATGTATCGTGACCCTATACATAAACCTATATAATTAATTAATGTGTTGTTACTGTGTTGACCCTCCCTGACTCTAACCCTTTTCTAACTGTAGCTGAAATGTAAGAGATATTTCAGAGTACACTTTTGTTTGCACTATGCTGTTTCCTTTTATCAAAATTGAATGGAAAAGTTACAGTATTAGTAGTATAAAATGTTCCTATAGCTAAAAAATACAATTAATGACACTTCATTGCTAGACATATTTCTTTATGGAGTTACATTTAGTCTTCTATTCTAGACAGTTAAATATAAAATCATTGATCACTTTTACTTGCAGCATATGACACTAAGTTCTGCTTTTATCCTCTGTAGGTGCTCTGTAACAGAGCAAGACTGGTGACCTATCTGCCAGGATTTTACTCCTTGGTCAGAAGGGTTGTAAATCCCAAGACTTTTTCCACAGCAGGATCTTCTGGCTCAGATGAGCCTCATGTTGCTGCTACTCCACCTGATATATGTAAGGAAAAACACAAGAATTTTGTTACATTGACTACCAGAGTTCAAGATCTTAAAAACTGTCTTAAATTTTAAAAAAATTACTTTTTGGTATTGTGAGATGATTTTTTTTTCCCACTTAATCTTTGTGACTATTTTTTTTTCTGTTTTACATTATTTGTATTCAAATGTTTCAATTTAGGAGTTTAAAATAACTGTGCTTTTTCCAATATGAAGAATAATGTAAGCACACAATTTTTGACAGGTCCAAGGACTGTGTGGCCAGATGAAGTAATGGGGCCATTTGGTCCTCAGGACCAGAGATTCCAGCTCCCTGGTAATATAGGTTTTGATTGTCACCTAAACGGCACAGCGTCTCAGACAAAAACACAGCTTCATAGAAGTTTGCCTGATATACTAGTGGAGCCCTTAACAAGTGAGAGACATGAATTTGTGATGGCACAATACATAAATGAGTTTCAGGTAAGAATAATAATTTAATACATGAAGCTGGAAATTGTAGTAGTGTTTGGATTTTTGTATATGCCAAAGAAAAATCTCCCCAAAATAGAATATTGCTAGTGCTCTGAAAATGATCAGAGATGAGGGGAGAACATTTGTTTCCCAAAAAAATCAACTGTTTCCTTTAAAACTTTTGACACTGAGTAATGTGTATATTGTTTGCAAAATATATAACATTTTAAATAGCTGCTTTTGTGTATTAGTTATATTAAAATAAGATTTAGAACAACTTAACTTTAAAACAAATTGCTGGATTAGTTTGATCTGTTTTTGCAAAAACAGATTGGTATTAATTGTTAACTTTTAATGATTTTTCGTTTGGGGTGAATGGGTTTTATTTATTAAGACACAAAGTGCCCTTATTTGCACTTATGGTTCGTATATGATCATGAAAGCCAACATGAGCTATGTACTAACTAAACTTGATTGTAGTTGAAGTTGCTCCATTTTGGGAATAGCAAATCTCACAGTGATTCAAAGGTGACCTATTAACAGTAGGCAGTTTCACTGGCTTTGCATATTAAGAAAATTTTAGCTCATCTAAATGTGGAGCCAAATTAACGATCAGCATTACCCAAAAGAGCCACAGCAGTGTGAATTCATTGTTTCATTTCTCCGTGGATGTGTGTGTAATGTTCACAGCAAAATGACTAGCCAAATATTTTATCAACTACAGTTGGTTAATATTGTGAAATCAGCCTGATTAATAGGTTAGGTTAATAAATTAGTCTTTTAATATCATTGCTGCAAATAGCTTCACGAGAGGTATTAAAGAGCCACTTGCCATTCTCCAGCCTAAGACTATCACTGAGCTAGCATACTGACTTTCCATAACCCATATGAATTTTGTGACATCTTCAAACATAGGAAATCAGTTTAAAATATTTATGAAATTATTTTATGTAAAAATGCTCTATAATATTTGTGTGTATGTAACCTGAGCTTGAACAATCCACTTGCCCATATTGAGCTTTCCGGCTGAGTGCCTTAACTTCTACGGAATCAAAGTTTTACCTCTTTTAAAAAAAAGAAGTGGACTGAGTGTAATTGATGCATGTGCTGTCTGTCTGCTAGTAAGTCTCTAGACTGAAAGCTCTAGCGGAGGGGTGGGAAACCTAAGGCTCGGGAGCCAGATGTGGCCCCCGGCTTGCCTGGATCCAGCCCCCAAGGCTCACAGCTCCCCCAGCATTAAGGAACCTACTCGAGCTCCCCTGCTGCCCCCTGCAGGCCTAGAGCTCATACAAATCTACTAGGTTGTGCCCCCTAAGCTCTGGTATGTGAAGGGGAATGTAGGGAGTCTCTTTCTCTCTTCAAGTGGGGGGCCTTCAGTGAGGGTTTTTTGGGGTGTTCTGTGGTTTCTTTTTTTAACTTCTCATTTGTGTGCGGCCCTTGACTGATTTTCAGTAGCCCCCAATCCAAAAAGTCCCTCCTCCCCCACTCTAGCATCTCTACTGCTAAGCGAGAAAATTGTCAAGTTTCCACTATGGCTGTTCAGGAGGTTATAGACAAGAATCAGATCAATTTCATACTGTTACTGTTTGGGAAAGTTTTGCATATAAAATCTTTTGTCTTAGGAACAGTTAATGGAGGCAAAGGAAAAGTAGAATAGCAGAAATTACTCTGCACCCCCATACCTCAGCCACAGCAACTAAAAAGCAGCAGGATGTTAAAATGGCAGAGAAATGCATTTCTTCCATGAAAGCAGCCAGAAGAGATGCAGCCTGGGGATGTTAGATATAGTTTATTTTAGTAATTGTGTAGCTGCAACAATTTTTGGTTTCCCCCTTGGGACAGGGCGGGCAGCTAGTACACTCCCAGCTCGACTCCCAGGGAGCTTCCTGCCACTCTGCACTGCTGCCTCTGTATTAGATACAGAGGAAGCTGGGGAAAGAAGTGTGTGTAATCTTTTGGATTAACGGATAAGCCCAAGACTATAGGTTAATCATTTAAACCAGTGTTTCCCAAACTATGGGTCGTGGCCCAGTACCGGGCCACAGGAAAAAAATACCAGGCCTCAGCGTGGCTGCCAGGAAGGGAACAGAGCAGGGTGGGCTGGGAGAAGGTGTGGGGGGGTAGAAACCAGCCACCGGGAAGCAAGGTTGGGGGCAGCAGGGTTGTCCCATGGAGATTGGGAGGGGTTGCCGGCGGAAGCAGGGTTGGAGGCAGTGGAGCTATCCCGCGGAGATTGGGGCTGGCAGGTGGGCAGCGGAAGCACGGTTGGTGGTAGCAGGGCTGTCCCGTGGAGATCAGGGCGGGCAGGCAGGCAGCGGAAGCAGGGTTGGGGGCAGCGGGGCTATCCAGTGGAGGTTGCGCAGGGCAGGCGGCGGAACCAGGGCTGGACGTGGGG